CTCTCCCACGGTGCAGCTGGTGGGTTCAACTGCCGACTTCTTGGTTAGCAGCTGAGTCTTCTCCAAAAACCCACAGTCCCAGACTAATCACGAGACAAACCCAAACTGAGGAACATCCCAGAAAACACCCAACCAGTCTTCTTCAAATTGGTCCACATCATCAAAGCCAAGGAAAGCCCGAGCAATGGCCACAATCCAGAGGAGGCTAAGCGTGAAGTTGTGTTCTGGAGGGGATCCTAGCACAGAACAAGACCACGTGGGGACAATGAGTGAAATCTGAACAAGCATGGCATTTAGCACGTTGTAATGTCCCGGTGCTGGTTCCTGAGCTGTGACAACCATACCTCAGCCGTGTAAGATGTTAGCAGTGGGGGAAAGGGAGTGCAGGGTACATGGAACTCTGTACTTTCTTTGCAACTGTTCTGTGAATCTAAGATTCAATTAAAATAAAGTTTATTTAAAATCACAACAAAAATAAAGAGTGCTGTATCTAGTCCCTGTACATAACCCAGAGGGCCTTCTCAGAAGACAACTGTGAGGGTGACTAGAGGTGAGGAAGGAAGCAGACCCCGAGAGGGAAGGTGCCAGAAACCCGGGTCAGAGCACAGATGTTGCCAACGGCAGGTTTTCAGCTGGAGCCAGGGCTTCCTTCTCTGGTCTGGACAGGCCCCCTCAGTCTGTCCCAACACTCTAACCCTATTCCTGACAAATACTTACAGAAAAATGGAGGGGAGTCTGTTCTAAGTCTCATGTAAAAGGTACAAGACCGTCACTGTCTGAAAGCACCCACCATGAGCTGGGCACTAGAATGGACCACTGGCAGAGATCAACTCATTTAAAATCAGGATCTAAGAGGTAGGTGCCATTATTGGCCACTTTTCACCACTAAGGAAATCGAGGCACAGAGAAACCAGGGAAATTGCCAAGGCCACACAGTTAGTAAGTGGGGTGTGGGCAAGGTTTGAACGCAGACAACCCAGCTGCAGAGTCTGAGGTCAAGTGCTGCCCTACGCTGCTTAAGTTATAGTGTAGTCCCTACAGACCTGAGGAACTGCAAGCTCACCTTGGAGACACTGTAGGTTGGGTTCCAGACCACAATAGAGCAAATACCACAATAAAGCAAGTCACATGACTATCCTGGTTTCCCAGCCGGTATAAAAGTAGTCTAATTAAGTGTGCAGTTGTTGTTGTTGTTATGTGCCGACGAGTTGGACCCGACTCATAGCGACCCCTCATTGGGTTTCCAGGCAGTATCACTACAGAAGTAAATTGCCCCATCTTCCTTCCGAGCAGTGGCTGGTGGGTTTGAACCGCCAGCCTTCTGGTTAGCAGTCAAGGGCATTATGAAAAGGAGCTCTGGTAGTGTAGCACCTAAGGCATCTGACTGTTAATCAGAAGGCTGGTGGTTCAAACCCACCAGCCACTCCTCAGAAGGAAGGTTGGGCAATCTACTTCCGTAGTGACACCACCTCGGAAACCCAAAGAGGGGTCACTATGAGTCGGATCCGACTCAATGGTAGTGAGTTGAGCAGAGCAGAGCATTATGAAAAAGTCTGAAATACTGCGAGACTGACCAAAATGTAACAGAGACATGAAATGAGCATACACTGCTCGAAAAATGGCACTGACAGACTTACTCAACCCAAGGGTTGCCACAAATTTTCAATTTGTAAAAAATGCAGTATCTGCAAAGCATAATAAAATGAGGTATGCCTGTACAGTGCAAGCGCTCAAATCTGTCTCTACAGGGAAGGTGGTCAGATTCCAAGAAGGACCTCCAGCATTCAATAGTAACTCTCATAGCCCCCCTTTCCTGGGCCTTTACTGAGTCTTGCGCTGCACCAGCAGGGATGAGGCTGAACTCCAAGTGGATGGATGCTGGGTGGGCAAGAGAGGGGCACTTTCTGCAACAAAGCTATCTCCATCCAGGCCCCGGACAGGCAAGACAGCTCGCCAGCAGCCTCTCTTGTAATTATTGGGAAGATAGAAACTCACTGCGGATGAGTCGGATCCGACTCATAGTGACCCCTCAGGTTTCCAAGGCAGTATCCCTACGGAAGTAGACTGCCCAACCTTCCTTCCGAGGAGTGGCTGGTGGGTTTGAACCGCCGGTCTTCTGGTTAGCAGTCAAGTGCCTTAGGCACTACTCTACCAGAGCTCCTATTGGGAGGGTACAGCTCCCTATTTGGGGCAGGGTTGGCAGACGAGGTATGTTGTTGTTATTTGCCATCGAGTCGGCCCCGACTCATAGCGACCCCTCCTTGGATTTCCGAGGCAGTTATCACTACCGAAGTAGGTTGCCCAACCTTCCTTCCGAAGAGTGGCTGGTGGGTTTGAACCGCCAGCCTCCTGGTTAGCAGTCAAGTGCCTTAGGCACCATGCTACCAGAGCTCCCAGACAGGTATTGTGTTGTTGTTGTCATGTGCCGTCGAGTCGGCCCCGACTCATAGCGACCCCTCCTTGGGTTTCCGAGGCAGTATCACTACGGAAGTAGGGTTGCCCAACCTTCCTTCCGAGGAGTGGCTGGTGGGTTTGAGCCGCCAGCCGTCCGTCTGGTTAGCAGGCAAGTGTCTTAGCCACTATGCTACCAGACAGGTATAGGGCTGTGAAATGAAGTCAGGGCGAGTGGCAGGGGCAGGAGACAGAAGCCAAATGGCTGGAAACAGGACCTACAACAAGCCGCAGGGGGGCGATAAGGGCTGGATACCTCCACCCAGAAGGGGCTGACCAGCCATCTTTTGGGAAGAGGGAGGGAGGGGATGGCTGGCAATGAACGCCATGGGGGGAGACACCCAAAAATGACCTCCCAGCAGGGTGGGTGACCCAGTGTCTGCCAGGAGGGCTGAAGGGGTGAGACTGGGCACGAGAGTTCCTATTAATAACAGGGTACCCTTCACCAGGCATGCGTGAGCCCGGCTGTGCTCAAACACTACCAGATAGGGACCCGGGACCCAGAGAACTTGAGTTACCTGCCCTGGCCGCTCTGGGATCTGAATGGAGGCTGGCTGACTCGGACTCAAAACTTCAAACCTACAAGCTTCTAGGGCTGGGGAGCGGCTGAGTTTCGGGTGTGGCTGACAGGAAATTCTTCTATGAAGCGGGGGAAGGGAACAGAGAAATGGACACGTGCGGGTCCGAGGGAGAGAGAGAGAGAGGCGAGGGTCGCGGCCCAGTGTCAGACAGGAGGGGGCCCAATCCCCACATTCAATATGGAAAGAGGGGTTCGATCACCGGGTCAGAGGGCGGAGGGCGCCGGACTCGAATGAGAGGGAGGAAGAGATCGGACCCCCTGGTGAGAGGTAGGGGAGAGTCCGGGTCCCTGGGTCTGAGGGTGGAGGGCGCCGGAACCCCAAGTCACTGGGAAAAAGGGGGTCCTAAGCCTGGATCACAGAGGGGGCTGGGCCCGCCTCCCGGCTGGGGACGCACAGGGGCGGAGCGCGGAAGGATTCGGGCGGGCCGTGCTGCGCCAACCCCCGATATATCTGTCCCCAGTCCCCCGGGCCGCCTCATTCCCCGTCCTCAGACCACGATCTCCTCACACTAGCACGACACCGCCTCCTCCCGCGTAGCCCCAGCCATGGCCCTGTAGCCGCGACCCCTCCGTGCCTCCCGGCCCGTTTCCGCGCTCACCGCGCCTGCGCTCTCTGCTCCCGCCTTCTTTCTTCAGCGAAGGCTGCCGCCGCCGCCTCGCCTTTCTGCCGCCATGGAGTGAGTAACTGCTCGCCCCTCCCTCTCTAACCGCCTTTCCCGCCCTTCCGTAGCGCGCGGCCCTCACGGTCTGGCCGGGGGATGGTGAAGAGTAGGGAATCTCGGTTGCGCATGCGCAGAAGCGGGGGTTCCGGCAGACGGCCGAGCCTGCGCACTCGGCCCAAGGTGGGGGAGGGTGAGTGCTCCTGGGTGTTTAAGGGGCTGCGTGCGGTTGAGGCTGCGCACTAGCTCCCAAAGCGTTTTCTCTCTCCCTCTCTCTCTTTCATTACCCCCTCCCCTAAACCCCGGGAACGAGTCTTTCCGTTCGCTTGCACATACGTGTCAGCCCATCAGAACCCGTATTTGTGCCTGAAACGCGGGCCGTACACCGCCGCACATGCGCACTGACCCCCAAGGCGGGGGTCATCAAAGAACAGTTTACACCGCTCAGGTGGCGGACCATGCGCTTTAGCCCTCCGGAGGAAGCAGCTTGTGGAAGGAAGGGTGTCTGGGGAGGTGGAAGCCGTTCTCCCTGAACACTGCACGGGCACACGATGCAGCTTCACTCCCTTTTAATCAGCCATGTGCTGGGGCGGGGCGTGGTTCAGATTGACAAGAGAGAAGGCAGAGCTTGAGGGGGCAACCGATTAACGTGGAGGATGGCGCACAATTGTCGCGAAGGGGCGGGGCTAGACGAGAGGGGCGGGTTTCGCCTGGAAAAAGAGGCGGGGCCTATGGGACTTCCAAGGAGGGGTGCAGCTGAAATTAACGCAGAAGGGCGGGACTTGGAGGGCACAGGGCTGAGACAGGGTGTGTTTCACCACCAAATGTAAGGGAAGAGTGGAATCTAAACACATAACATTGATGAAAAGACAGACCTTAGAGGAATTCCCCTGGGAACTGATTAGCGGTGGAATCTACTTAGAAATGGGGTGGCGCCTAAAGGAAATATTTTAGGGGAAGAGATGTGGCTGGAAGAAAATTCCCCTGGGATTGAGATAATTTTACGAAGAGGAATAACATGAAATGGATAGGAAGGGATTAAGGAGAATTCCTTCGGGAGTGGCTGGGGTTCAGGGTTTAGAATTCCGAGAGGGGGAGGAGCCCCATGGCAGTGAGGTTGTGGCTTTCCCGTGCATCTGGCTGGTGGGCGGGGCTTGCTGCTGACTCTGCCCCCTTCTCTCGCACGTGTAGGTCCTCCACTGTCGCCCTGGTACCTGCCTTGGTCCATCTGAGCGACCTCCAGAGTTTCCCCCCAGCTGTTGCCGCTGCCTCCTTCGTTGCCATCAGACGCCAGCACCTCTCCGGCAGCCATGTCACTCCTGGCGACCCTGGGGCTGGAGCTGGACAGGACCCTGCTCCCAGCTAGCGGGCTGGGCTGGCTCGTAGACTATGGGAAACTCCCCCTGGCCCCTGCCCCTCTGGGCCCCTATGAGGTCCTTGGGGGAGCCCTGGAGGGCGGGCTTCCAGGGGGAGGAGAGCCCCTGGCAGGTAAGGGCAGGTGGAGAATGGAGGAAAGATGAACTAGGGGGAGGAGAGGAAGAGGGAGAAGGAAGAGTTAGTTTATTCAGTCATTCAGTAAATACTTATTGAATGCCCACAGTGTGTCAGGAACAGTGTTGAGGATACAGCTGGGAACAAGGCTAGCATGATACCTGTCCTCTTAGACCTCACACTCTTGTGAGGAGACAGACAAGAGTCAAGTTAAATGAAGATTTATTTAGATTAAGTAAGAAACACTTGGGAGCTATGGTAGCATAGTGCCTAAGGCACTTGACTGCTAACCAGAAGGCTGGCAGTTCAAACCCACCAGCCACTCCTCGGAAGTAAGGTTGGGCAATCTGCTTCCGTAGTGATACTGCCTTGGAAACCCAAGAAGGGGTCGCTATCAGTCGGTCTGACTCCACGGCACATAACAACAACAACAGGAACCACTTAGTGATTAAGTTAGAAAATATCGAAGAGGGCCTAGTTTTAAAGTGGGTAGCCAGGAAACCTTCTCCAAGTAGGTAACATTTTAAGCTGTTGACTAAAGAATGGGAGGGGATGAGTCACGCAAAGGCTGAAGGGAAAAGCATTTCAGGTGGAAAGAAAGCAGAGACCTTGAGGCAAGAAGTGTTTCATTCTTTACTGTATCCCAAGCACTTGGCCTACTGTAGGTTTTCAATAATGAATGAATTAAAGGTGAAGCAGGGTGGGTGTGATATGATCTAGGTGGTATTGTAAGAACAAACTAAAGAGTGGACCAGAGAAACCACAGATGTAGGGTAATCAGTAATGAGGGTGCTGGAATGGTTGCAGAAATGGTTGGTTGACAGTTAAGTGACTGGTTTGTTGGCTGTTTGACCAGTTCGTTGATTAGTTGGCTGACTGCCTGACTGCTTCATTGACTACTTGGTTGGCTGGTTCCTTGGCTACCAATTGGTTGACTGGTCTACTGGTTGGTTGGTTGACTTGTTTACAGCTTTGTCAATTGATTGGCTGATGGCTTGGTTGACTGGTTCATTGATTGGTCTTCTGGTTGGTTGGTCAGATGGTTGGCTGACTGGCACATTGGTTGCTTGACTCACTTGTTGGTTTCTTGTCTGGTTTGATTTGTTGATTGGTTGACTGACTGGTTATTTTACTGAGCGAATGAGATGAATGAGCCTGAATGAGTGAGCACCCAGTTGGGTGGAGGATGAGGAACTCAGGGAACTTTGTGCCCCCTCTCCAATCCCCTAGGTGACGGCTTCTCTGACTGGATGACTGAGCGGGTTGACTTCACAGCCCTCCTCCCTCTGGAGCCCCCCTTACCCCCCGGTGCCCTTTCCCCACCTTCCCCACCCCCACCTGACCTAGAAGCCATGGCCTCCCTTCTCAAGAAGGAGCTGGAGCAGATGGAAGACTTCTTCCTTGATGCCCCGCTCCTCCCGCCGCCCTCCCCACCTCCGCCACCCCCACAAGCTCCTCCTCTCCCGCTCCCCACCTTTGACTTCCCTCAGCCCCCTGCCCTGGATACCCTCGACTTGCTGGCTATCTATTGCCGCAGCGAGACTGGGCAAGGAGATGCTGTGGGGCTGGCACCCCTGGCCCCACCACAGCAGCCCCCTCCTTCTCCACCTCAGCCCTCTCGCCCAGCCCCTTACCCCAACCCTGCCGCCACCCGAGGGGACCGCAAGCAGAAGAAGAGAGACCAGAACAAGTCGGCAGCTCTGAGGTATCGCCAGAGGAAGCGGGCAGAGGGCGAGGCCCTGGAAGGCGAGTGCCAGGGGCTGGAGGCTCGGAACCGGGAACTGAGGGAGAGGGCTGAGTCGGTGGAGAGGGAGATCCAGTATGTCAAGGATCTGCTCATTGAAGTGTACAAGGCTCGAAGCCAGAGGACACGCAACAGCTAGATGAGCAGAGGCCCTGGCCTCTGGGGGCACTGTCTTCATCTCTGGCTCACTTCTATCTCTCGGGCTGAGGCGGGTCTCTCTCCATCGTCCCCATGTCTCCAGCTTCATTCCAGAAACCTCCCCCATCTTTACTTTTACCCATTGTCTCCGTTCCTGCACATTTCTGAATTTGCTCCTTCTTCCATCCTCCGAATGGTGGAATGTTTGGCCTTAGTCAACATCTCTATCCCTCAAGTATCAGCTGAGGGACTGAGGCCCTCAGAGAATTCAGGAAGCAGAACAGAGCTTGGAAAGAGGTCCTCGAATCAGTGGTTTCTTACAGGTGGTTCTTGGTGGAGGGTGGAGTGGTCCTAGGATAGAACCTAGGGGTGGGCCCAGGAAACTATGCAGAATTACTATGCAAATGAGAACAGGGGACATTGGGTAGGTGAGTCAGGGAGGGTTTTTAAGAATGGGACCCATAAGCAAAAAAAACCAAGCCAAGTGAACCTTAGGTGAAACTACATTGCGGGAGAAAGTCAGGAAGTGGCCAAGTTTACAGAGCAGGTAGATATACAAGTAGTGGGGAGGAAGGGGCAGAATGGGGGGTGGCCATAGTTGGTGACTGGGTGTTCATTTTAGCTCTGAGAAATCAGTGTTTTGTGAAGGTGTTGGGGTACGGGGCTGCGTCTAAGTGAGGAGGGAGGGCAGGGACTGATCCTTTATGGGGTGGTAAACAGAAATAAAATGAAGTCTTTCCTCTTGGTCTCCGCCTTGTCTTTGAGAGCAGAAGTTAGGGCTAGTACAGTGAGCCACTTTTAGATTCAGACAGTTCATTAGTTATGTAGACAGTGAAAGAAAGAACAGCCCAAGATGCAAGCTTCCCATGGTCCTTGTCTCACACCCAGAAGGACAATCCTGCAACAAAAGGGGCTGATGACTACAGTGTGAGTTGTGGGATGCTCTGCAGCCAAGGGGCCTGCCATCTTATGCAAATATCTTAGGATAAATGGAGAGGTAAGTGGGAGATGGGCTTGTAGCCACTCCTTAAAAGCCTCCCAGGAAGCCTAACTGTCATTCAGAACACTAGCTGCAAGAGAGTCTGGGCAACACAGGTAGTTAGCTGCCTAACCCTTCTTAATATATGGAGCATGGAATGGAAGTTGAGGGAACCACCCCAAAGAACCAGTCAATCAACCTGTCCACAATCAATCATGGAAGCAGTCAGCCAGTCAGTTAATGTACTAACCAATGAATGAAGCAATCAGTCAAGTCATCAATGAGCTAGTTAACCGACCAACCAACAAAGCAACCAACCCATGAAAGAACCAGTCAATCAACTCAACTGAGTTTTGTTAATGCATTTATACATTTGCAATAAAAGTGCAAGAACCGCATGTGCTGTAGACAGAATAATAACCTACCAAAGATGTCCACGTCCTAATTCCTGGAACCTATAACTGTATCAGGAGCTCTAGTGGCACAATGGTTAAGGCATTTGACTGCTAAGCAAAAGGTCAGTGGTTTGAAACCACCAACCTACTCCACGGGAGATAGACGAGGCAGTCTGCTTCTGTGAAGAGTGATAGCCTCGGAAACCCTATGGGACGACAGTTCTATTCTGTCTCTAGAGTCACTGTGCGTCAGCATCGACTCAATGCAGTGGGTTTGTTTTTTTTATGAATATATTACCTTACGTGGCAAAAGGGACTTTGCAGATGTTTTTAAGGATCTTGAGGTGGGGAGATTATCCTAGATCATCTGGGTGGGCCCAGTATAGTCACATGGGTCCTTATAAGGAAGGGAAGGAGGGAGGCAGGGGGGTCAGAGTCTTGAAGAGGCTACACTGCTGGCTTTGAAGATAGAACAAGGGGTCATGAGCCGAGGAATGTAGGCACCTTCCAGAAGCTGGAAAAAGCAAATAAATGAGTTTTCCCTTAGAGCCTCCAGAAGGAATACAGCCTAGCCAACACCTTGATTTTAGCCCAATAAGGCCCATTTCAGTAGCTCTGGTGGTACAGTGCTGAAGCACTAGACTGCTAACCCAAAGTTCAGTGGTTTGAACTCACCAGCCTCTCTGTGGAGGAAAGATGTGGCAGTCTGCTTCTGACGTGAATCAAATTGTGTCCCCCCCCAAAATATGTGTCAACTTGGCTAAGCCATGATTCCAATCACTGTGTGATTATTGTCCATTTTCTGATGTGTTGTATGTCCTGGCCTCTGCCTGTGGTTAATGGGGCAGGAGTAGGGTGGGATGTGCCACCTCTACTTAAGTCACTGCTCTGATCTGATGTACGAGGAGTTTCCCTGGGGTGCAGCCTGGACCACTTTTCATCTTACAAGCCTTTTATAAGAGAGAAAAAGGAGAGAGAAGCTAGCCGAGAAGCAGGGGCCTCAGTACCACCGAGAAAGAAGTGCCTGGAGCAAAGCATGTGCTTTGGATCTGGGGTCCCTGTGCTGAGAACCTCCTCGACCCAGGGAAAGATTGATGCCAAGACACATGGAGATCTCTAAGGGATGGGCCCACAGATGCTGGAAGGAGATGAAGACTTTCCCCCAGAGCTGACAGAGAAAGTCTTCTCCTAGCGCTGGTGCCCTGTCAGACTTCTGGCCTCCTAAACTGTGAGAGAATACATTTCAGTTGGTAAAGCCACCTGTGATAGTTGCAGCTGTGTGTCAACTTGGCTGGACCACAATTCTGTGTGGTTTAAGCTGTTGTGATGTGGTTGTTCCCATGATGGGATCAGATGATTATGTTTTGAGCGGCCAATCTGTTGAAGGGAGTTTCCCTAGGGCTGTGGCCTGCTTCCAGTATATCTATGGACATTCCGAGAAAAGAGACATTCCTCTGTGGATCAGGATTCTGCTCTGCTGCCTACAACTGTCCGTGAACGAACAATCCACCATTCGGCCTGGGGATCTTGGATTCGTCATTCGTTGGAGTCAACAGCCGGTGTACTGCCTGCCAGCCTTGAGCTCCTCAGCCTCTGCAGTTGCAAGAGCCAGGAAGAGCCTCCAGCTTGACATTTGATCCAGGAACTTTGGACTTGCCAGCTTCTATAAGTGTGTGAGCCATTCTCCTAAGATAAATCTCTCTCTCTATATATATATATAAGCTCTACTGGTTTTGTTTCTCTAGAGAACCCAGTCTAACACACCACCCACTTGTGGTATTTCTGTAATAGCAGCACTAGGAACTAAGATAGCATTTACAGCTTGGACACCCTATGAGGCCGTTCTACCCTGGCCTATGGGGTTGCTGAGTCAGAATCAACTCGATGGCAGTGGGTTTGGGTTTAATTAGTGCCTTTGGCACTCGGCTCTCTCACACCATAGGCAGGAAGCCCACCGTGCCGTCTCCTGCCAGTACTCGGTTCTATTGCCTCACATCTCACCATCTCTGGTGTTACAGTTTGCTGTCTCCTGGATGCAAAAAGGACATGGAAGTGACATCCTCTGACCTCCAACCTCAAGAGGGGTAGACAGAATCACCATCAACAGCTCAAGGCTGATTCTTTTGAGGGCAGACATAGCACCACTGTTAAAAAGGCAAGGAGGCCACATCTCCTGACCTCCTCTAACCGCACAAGAGGAAGACAGAATCACTATCAGTAGCCCAAGGGCCATTACTGTGGGGCCAGACATGCTGCCTCCCTCCAGCTCTTTCACCAACCCTGACACCAAATGTTCCTCACACAGCACCCACCACCTCTCTCCTGGGTTCAATAATTCCCTGCTGTGGCCACACAGAACTCACAGATCACAGGGTTTATTAGGGAAGCACCAGGCTACAATTCAAGTTCAGGAACAACGCTCAGTCTCTCTCAGCCCACCGTCTCTCAGCCAACAGTCTCTCTCCCAGCATGTTCCTTGGTGTCTCTCTAAACAATGCGTGTCTCTTGCGTCTCTTTCCCTGGAGCACGTGTCTCTTTCAGCAGCACGTCCTTCTCAGCCAGCAGTCAGAGTTCTGCCTCTAGGAGGCCTCCTTTTGAGCCTGGCAGACTGACCAAACTAGCCAATCATAACATCAGAATTCTAAGCACCTGAGAGAGAGCAGGAACCTCCCAGAACATTGCTTTGTTCCACTCCCAACAGAAATACCCCAGGTGGGCAACTTTAGCAATCAGGAGCTTCTCCATTGCTCGTGGCAAATTCCACCTCTGAGTTTACAAAGACTTATGGCTAGAAAAGCCATACCAGGTAATTTACTATACCGCAACCACTCTCCAACCTTTTTACCGATTCTGGCACCAACCATCCCTCCCACGGCACTCACTACTTCTCTGCTGGGTTGGATAATTTGTTGCAATGGCCACAAAACTTACAGACACTACTCACAATTATGGGGTTTATTAGAGAAATAACAGGCTACAAGGCAGGTTCAGGAGCACGCTCAGGATACAATTCTTCCATCAGGACAGTCTCCCTCTTCAGGCACGCTCTCTGGCCCTTGGCCTCTAGACCAGGCATCCACCTTGCTCAGGTAAATGTTACAAAGCTCTTTTAGCTCTTCTGGGAGGCACACCCAGGTGCACCCCACTCTGCTAGCAAGCCTCCTGCCCAAAGGCACTCAGCTTTCTTGGTCTGTGGGCTGGAAAGCCCACTGCTCCATTCTCACGCCTGTTGGTTCCACTGCCACTGTCTCAGTCGGGCATCTCTTTCTGCCAGGCATCTCTGCCAAGGAGGTCTAGAGCATGGATCTCAGGTCCAAGGACACACTCCACTTCTAGCTCTTCTCTCTTGATGGTGGTGAGACCCCCCTTTCTGCCTCTAGGAAGGTAAGTCTGACAGAGTGACAAAACTAACCAATCCCAACATTAGAGTTCCGTACACCTAGCTTCATGCTCCCACCCAGTATTTCGGTGAGAGTCACAAAGACTATGGCTCGAAAAGCCATACCAAGTAATTCACTGTACCACATGGGTCTAGGAGGTTCTCAGCACAGGGATCCTGGGTCCAAAAGTTGTGCTCCCCTTCTGGCACTTTCTTAGTGGTAGTCGGGTCCTCTCTGGTCTCTCTCC